GAGAACAGCTCTGAGAGAACTTGTGACTGACCCAAGGTCACCCAGCTGGCTGCATGTGGAGGAGTGGGGAATCACACTAACTCAGCTTAGAGGGAGCACTGCTCCAGAGCTGCCCTGTAGCAGCAGCCCGCTTTCGTGACATGCCACATCTGCCAAGGCCCACAACCGTCGCTCTCATCGAAACTTTTCTGTTATTAAATCCTTGCTATTGCCATAACAACGCACTTTTGAGTCCAAATCTATATATCACAGCTCATGCAATTGTTATGGATGGCATCGCGCTATCGGAAGGGGTCAGGCGACAGGTTCTTAGCTGGCTACAGAAACCGGTTGCAGACGACGTGCTCGGGAAGCCTGCCGCTCCACAGACACATATCCCCAGGAGCGCCTCTGTGAAAATATTGGCAAAGGTGGAGACAGGCTTCCCTGACCTACAGACTGTCCAAACCCTACGTGTCTTCTCTGCTGTGCCGGGCACGGTCTAGTCTCTGTTCACGAAAGGCATTGGTGAGACCCAAAGAGACTTGGGTCAATACGCTGCACGACCTGTGCCCCACAGAGCAAGCCTCCAAATCCTCTGCACCCCTGCCAGGAAAGGGGACGTGGAAAAAGTCCTCTTATGGGAGAAAACTTAGAAAAATCGCGGCTAAGGGAATGTTAAGGACTCTGGGCAGAACAAGGGGATTTCGCCCTCTGCTTGCTTATCAGGAGTTCCTCCCGGAGAAGATGAGAATCTTAGAATCACAGAGCTGGAAGGGGCCATCCAGGGGCCATCTAGTCCAGCCCGCCTGAAGACTGCCAGGGAGGGGGAGCTCACCACCTCCCATGGCAGCTGATTCCACTGCTGCACAACTCTGACTGGAGAGACTGATGGCGCACCGTGGTGGACCCTGCCATTCAGTGTGCAACTGGATAGGTACTGGATCATCCTCTTGCTACAAGCAGGACAACAGGAGGGGTCTTGTAAGCACCCCACATAAATACACTCTGCACTCTAGAGCATGTACCAGAATCCCCTGCAGAACACAGGAGCAGCTAAACAGACACAGCGGCGTTCTGCAACAGAGGAAGCCAGGCGGAAAGGACACCCCGATGGTAAAAGCCAGTTTGGTGAAGTGGGTTAAGTGCACGGGCTCTAATCTGGGAGAACCGGGTTTGATTCCCCACTCCTCCTCCACTTGCGCCTGGCTGGATAAGTTCTGAGAAGTAGTTCTGATAAGAGCTGTCCTTGAAAAAGAGCAGTTTCTGTCAGAGCTCTCTCAGCCCCGCCTACCTCACAGGGTGTCTGTTGTGGGGAGGGGAAGGGGAAGGAGTTTGTCAGCCGCTCTGAGACTCCTTTGGGTAGTGAAGGGCGGGGTATAAATCCAATCTCTTCTTCTAAAATATTTGTGAACCACTGAGCTACAGGGACTCAAATGCAGGGTACGCCCAAATCCATCTCCTCTCATTTGAGGCTTCCCCATTTTGGCTCTGACTTGGCAGGACAGAAGCCATCAATGCTGGAAGCTTGTTTTGGAGGGGGAAAACTTGGATTTGTTGAGGTCCCGTGGGCATGATAGCATGCAAACCCCTTCATTGCCACCAGGGGGCAGCCTACGTCAACATTCAGCGTACAGAGAGTTCTGCAAAGTGGCCAAGTGCACAAATGTATTGCTTCTGTTCACTGAATACGTCTTCTTCTTTTTTTAAAATAGTTCCTACACGAGTTTCTTCTTCTTTTTTGCACCACCACTGATTTCCATTGGGTTCAGGGGGAAGCAATGCCGAGAGCCCAAACACAGTTATTAGGGTGGGTTCAATCCCCGACATCTTCAGTGAAAAGATCTGGCTGTAGGAGATGGGAAAGGCCTCCACCTGAGACCCTGGAGAGCTGATGCCCATCTGAGTAGACAGTACTGACTTTGATGGACTGACGCTGTGACTCAGCGTGAGGCAGCTTCATGGGTGTGCACCTGTGTCCACTTTGACCACGACGCCACCCTGGCTGGCGATCGGCCGCAGGGCTTCGCCGCACCCCACCCCTTGATGGGCGCCAGGGGACCTTAGAGCCAGTGCTCCTTACCAGCAGTTTCCCAGGAGCCCTTGCAGGATGTCGGAGGGCCGGGGCGTCCGGAAGACCGACCACTTGACCGAGCGGTCCTTGAAGATGCTGCAGTTGATCTCGTGAGGCCTCAGCCACTGCTTGACCCGCTGCTGGACGCTGTCCCCTTCGGGGAAGCCAACCGACTTGGGCCCCGGCGGGAAACTGTCATCCACAAAGTTGACCTTATTCTGTGGACATTAAGGGTGGGGGGAAAGAAGAAGTCATTGCAGCGCTCTTGGAACGTGGCTGGCGGTTCCTTCTGCCCCCGTCTTGCACATTCAGGATCACTCAGAAGGCAAGAGCAGCGTTAAAGGCAGGGGTCATTTCCTGCAGGAGTGCACAGGAGCAGAGCTCCGGCAGTAAAGAGCCCAGGGGG